GACCTTCCATTTGAGTACCCACATCAATTTTTTCATATATTTATATATATCATATATATGTATATATGAAAAATATATAAAAAAATTGATGTGGGTATTCAAATGAAAGCTCTTGATGACTGTAACATCGGGATGAGTTTATATCTTTAAAAACTTCAATAGTTAAAAAAGTGCAAGATTGCTAGTTTTTAATAAAAATATTTTTACCAAAAATTTTACATTAAAAAAAAAATTTGATTGCCAAAAAACTAATAAATTTTCTTAAATTTCAGATCACATAAAATAATGCTGGGACAAAAACCATCACCTTTACTGAGATGCTGACAGTAATGTGCCCAAACTGCCGGCATCGTTTTCCAGCCCCGGGATGTTGTAATCCAAATTCGCGACTCCAAGACACAGCAATGCATCCATCAACCACAACATCATCATCTCCAGCGGCATCATCCTACGGCAATTACTACAGCTGCGGTGGAGGACTGATGATGCCACGCAGTTACGGGAGCAACTGCATAATAAACGCTCCGACAATAATCCACGGGCCGACAATAATTCAATCCAACCAAGGCTCGGGCACCGCTCAGATACCAGGCCCCGGATTCTTGGCCGACTACTGGAACATCTCCAAGCCATCCAACTCCGAGTGCAAGATAAACACGACTTGTGATCTCACCGGCGGCACTGTCACGATAACCACCCCGAACATCCAGTCGGGGGGTTACCTGCTCCAGCCGACAGACTCTGATTCGCTGATCCACTCCCCGAGGATTGAAATCAGGCCCAAGTTGTCTGGCGGTGGGTGTCTAGTTCAGAAGAGACTGTCCGAAGATAACAGTTCCCAATTGTTATTTTCTAACAATGATTTGCTTCAATCACTCGCTAACTTCAACTATTACCGTGATTTCCCCAAAGAAGAGGTGACTCCGTCAGTTCATCCGCCCAGCGGCTGTCAAGAATTGCCAGGAATGCGTCGTGATTCCTTCATCCAGCCTAGACCTGACAATTCTATTCACGATAATTGCAATCCAGCGGCTGGTGATAGGCAATCTAGAAAAAATTCAAATTGCTGCTGTTCATCACAATCAAATTCCATTAATAGTAATAACAATTATAGTTATAATTATAATAGTAATAATTTACAGTCAGAAACATGTCAGCGTAAATCATCGACCGACGATCCAGGTGCTGTACAAATAAAAGTCAGTGCGACAATTCAATTGCCTGCGAACGTCGATCAATGCACGCTTAATATCACGGCAACAAAAAGTTCTGGGAACAATGTTGACACCATCACCACCGTTAATGGAATTAATTCAGCTACTACAACATCAGAAGCTGGAAATAGCATATTAGTACAAATGGACGCCCAGCAAACGGGAAGTAACTGCGAGAATGAAAGGCGCGAGGATACTTCAACTCCAACCCCGACGACACCAGTATCTTGGTTGATGCCGGTGTCTTACAACTACGACGAAGGTTACTCGCAGAAAAGAGGTCTACCCAAGACAACAGACATCAAGAAATTACTGAGCAGTACTGGGTGGTACTACGAGGGCATGAATTGGCAGCAGAGTGAAAACTTACTTAAAAACATGGAAATCGGCAGGTGGCTTGTCAGAGACAGCTCGGACAGTAGATTTGTCTTTGCTATTTCTGTCCAGACTGACCGCGGGCCAACCTCTGTCAGAGTTCACTTTTACAACAGAAATTTCCGACTCGATTCGGAACCTCAGCTTATCATGACGATGCCGCAATTCGACTGTCCGATAAAATTGCTTGATTATTATATTTATGTGTCGAAACACGGCAATGGAAATTTAAAGCAGGTCTGGGTCGATTTGACTGGACATCTGTACAGTAAAATTTATTTAACAAAGCCGGTTGTTAAAGATGTTGGTACGCTTTCACATCTTGCTAGGCTTGTTATTAATAAACATAAAATAGATACTAAATCTTTACCAATTCCTATTAAAAATTATATCGCTGAGTATCCTTATACATTTTAAATTTATTAGTTCAATTGTGTAGATAATTTTCAATTTAAAATGTTTTTTATTTGTTAGAGTAATAGGAAATATTTGCGATTGTGTATTGGAATTTTTTATAAACAAGTGAATGTTTAGTAAATATTTAAATTTTAAATTAAATTTATTTATTTATAGATAAAATTGCTTATAAAAACCTATCGTAATGATTAATATCTTCCAGAATATGTAAAAAGTTTTTTAAGCTAAATTATTATAAATTAGTTGAGTTATTAAATTATGAGGAGGTGTAATCTAAGTCGGGTACATTCAATTAACGTAATTATTTATTAACATGTTAAATAATTGATGAAAAATATTATTATATGAAATTATCTTGAATTTTATTTTGTTTTTTTTTTTAATACAAAAATAAATTAAAAGTCACGATTACGACCAAAGAAAATTTATAATAAGCGTTTACTTAAAAAAAAATTCATTTTTATAGCTTAAAATAAATTAATCAACTCCTGACTTAGTATTACAATGGACTATTTCTTATTTATTCAAAAATATTTAATTATATATAAACATATATAAAACTTACTAAAATTATAAATAAATTTATAATAATTTTAGTCAGTAGCAGCATAATATTTGTGTGATTGCGATTTGTAATATAAATTTATTGACTAAAAAAAATCAATTACACTTTAGAGTTTTCTGAATCAGTCAAAAGAATTAATTAGTTAAACTATATAACTAAAATTAATATTACGAAATTAGAGTGTGATTTCATGAACTTGAGTTGAAATATTAATGGGTACCATTTACATACCCAAAATTAAAAAAAATTAAAATTATTTTTTTCAATTTGATCATACTTAGAAAAATTAAATTTTCTGTCTTCATTTTTCAATATATAAAAATAGTTAATAAATAAATAAATAATTACATAACATGTGCCTTTTTACGTACAAGATAAATCAAAATAATAGTAAAATCTTTTTTTTTTCATTTATACCTAAAAACAAAGCCAATGGCTAAAGTATGAGTACACTAAATATGATTTGAATTATCATATATAATTTAAATATTGTTTTTTATCACAATGGAAAGGAAAAGGAAGTTAAATATAAGCATGTGACTGCGATTAAATGATATCTAGATCGTGCCGTTGTCTTAACTTAAAAAAATATACATATTACTTGTCGTAGATATATATTAATAAATGTTATGTCGTTGCGAGATAAGAAATCACGTGCCTTTAAAACTAAGGCGTTGGCCACCCACGCGTCAAACTTAACACCATAAATGTGCGCATATATATATATATATATATATATATATTCAAATTGATATGTTTAATAATTGTGTATAAATATTGTATGAATGTTAATCTTAATTTAAATATGCTACTGAGCATTAGTAAAATGTAGCATTGATGACGTCTCTACATTAGAGATGAAAAAAAAAAAAATATATCTATATATATATAGATTGATAAATAATAATAATAAATAGTAACATTATTATTAATTGTTTATTTAATTAAATCTTATTAACAAACAAAATAAACGTGTAATTAAAATTCGTTCAGTTGCTTTTATTTTGTCAATTAATAGCTTTTTTTTTTTTATTTTAAAATGAGACTTATTATCATAACTGCCATTTCAATTGTACTATTAAGTTCGTCACCGTAAATTGTATAAAAAATACATAGACATTGTATAAATTATTGAACAAGTATCTGTTAAAAAGATTGTAAAATAATTAGTGTTCCAATATTTTATTTCAATTTTTTAAATTATTGAAACACTGGTATATTAAACACGATTCAAATCGAATCTTAATTATTTTCACTGTTTAAACATTATCTGCTTTTATTTTTAAACTTATAATAATTATAATTATAAACAATAAATATGTTACAAGTTAAGTTATTAAAAAAATTATTTATTATTTATATGAACTTTTTTTTTTATTTACAAATATCCTCTCCAATATTTTTAGAAATTTTTTTTCATGAATTATTGTCGTTTTGAACAAGAAAAAATTCTAATGATAGTAAAATAAATAAATAGCTATTTTTTCAACAAAAAAATATGCTTTGAAATAATAATACTGCATGAATGATAAAAGATAAAACTTAACTTATAAAAAAATTTATTCACAACGATAAAATTATGCAATAGAAAAATATTTTTAATCTGCTTATAATAAATTTACGCAAACTAATTATAAAGACGTTTAAAAAATATTTTTTTTTTTCTTGTTACAAAAAAGTATGTTACGATTTTTGATAAAATAGATAGTTTAGTTTACTAAGAAAAATTAATTATAACACGAGGTCAATACACTTGGAAGTATTTTTATAATTATTTATGTTTACGTAAGATTAAGTAGTATAAAACTACAAAATAAATTATCCGTAAATAAAAATAGTAATTAGCGTTTATTAATATTGTTATTAATACTCTTTAAAAAATACTTTAGTATAAAACTAATCAATCAACAGAGTACTCTGGTTGAAGTTGACAAATAAATCAATAGCTATAAATATCCTATAATAAACATCGCATGATACATAATTAGTTATTAGTAACTAATAATACGAGGAAAGCGATGAAAATCACTTAACAAGAATTCTTAAAAGATAATTATTTATAAGTGATGGTTAACGCTCTATCCTATTCTATATTAACTACTATATTTATTTTAATGCGACAGCGTCATGCAGTCTAACTCTCGCAAATTCCGTGAAACTGTCACGTCACTTATAATTTTACACCGATTTCTTTTTTTATTTAAGAATTACCTTTCTAGTATTAAAATTTATATTTCGGAGTACAAAAAGTACGTAATAACCGTTGATTCGATTTTTTATTATTTTTTTAATTAAAAAAACTAATCAATTCCATGAATTTTTTTTTTTTTAATTAATACTACGCATCGTTTGTAACCAATATTAAATATCTCTGCAAAATTTTACGTATAAAATTGATATTTAAATAAAAAAATAAATAAATTTTTAATTCAAGGTCCTATTGAACTCAGGTACTTGTTAAATGCCGCGTGTAAATGTCCAGCACGTTGCGCTTCTTCAGCCCTAAAAAACAAATAAAAATAAAATAAAGATATTAAAAATTCTAAAAATAAAAATTAAATCCTTACTTTAAATCATTAAATTCCTTTTCTTTCCCCGCAATAATTTCCTTAAGTTGTTTTATGTCTTTATCTCTTTCCCTCAATTCCTCAGCATAATTTTTCTGAATATCATTAATCTGCCCGGACATGACCGTCACCTGCTGGCTCATTTTCTGCAGCTGGCAATCTTGATCCCTAATCCTCATTCTTTCATCTTCTAGCTCCTGTTTCAACCTCGCCGATTTATCTCTTTCTTCATCCAGCTGGCCTTTCAGCAAATCATATTTCCTCTGGGGATCAACCAGCTCGCTCTCCAAACTCTGCACCCGTTTCTTAAGACCCGCAATAATTCTCTGAGCGTCATTTAATTTTTCTTCAACACCAAACTTCTCATCTTTAATCCTCTGGCAAACTTCTACCACTTTACCATACTTACAATCAATGCCCTCCAGCTCATCAACCTTAGCTCTGAAAGTCGCCAAGCTACTTGCCATTTCACGCAACTCATTGCGTGATTTCTGTAATTGATCCTGACAATCTTCCAACGCGGTTGTGGTTTCTTTAAGCGTACTTTTTAAAATATTCACCTCAATTTTGTACTTATTGTCTCTCTCCTTGAACTCTCGTCTTATTTTATGCACCTCCGTGTTCTTAATCTCAATGATATCTTCATAATCTTTGGACTTACTCATCCACTTTTCTCTCAGCGCAATTACCTCCAACGAGCTTTTATGAATATTCTTCTCATAATAACGGACTTTTTCTTCCCAGTCTTTATTTTTCAACAGACATATATTATATTTATCCTCAATTGTCTTACAATTTTTCTTTAAATCCTCTTCTATTTTTTTATGCTTTTCCTCCAATTCTTGAACTTCCCTCTTTTTTTCCTCAACAATTTCATCGAATTTTCTCTTCCATTCATCAATTTCATACCTAAGTTTCTCCACTAACTCATTACTGGATTTTATTTCTTCATCCTTGGTATTTATCTGCTTTGTCAAGACATTAATAGTCTCACTTCTATCATGTAAAATTTTATTCAACTCCATTATTTTGTTAAATTCAGTCTTACTTCCTTTATCACTATTGTAATTAATTTTAAAAGAACTATCAGAGTCAGAATCAGAATTAGAGTTTAATAATTTATCCGACTTTGAATTTTTTTTACGTCTCAAACGTTTCTTCCTGAAATTCGAGCCCAATTCCTTTAATTTAAACTCATCAGCTGACTCTGAATCATTCAATTTATTTTCCGTATCTTGAAGACTTAATTTATGAGCACGTTCATACAAAACCATTATACAATTATCATTTTTGCTGAAACAATTTCCAGTTAATTTATCTGTAGACTTAGAAGTAATATTCGAAGAAGTAATAGATTTTTTACTCTGATTCCTCAGAGTTACGTTATCAATTAAATCAACAATACTATCAGGTACGCAATTACCACGTAAGTTTAACTTAGTAATACTGTTATTATCTTTTATACCATTCAGCAAGGACTGTCCACCATGGAGACCCAGCGTATTCCACTCGAGGTTTAAAACTTTCAGCGCTTTATTTTTTTTCAGCAAATTCATTAAAGCGTCAGCGCAATGAGGCGTTATTTGATTATACCTTAAATCCAGTTCTTCAATATTGTAATTCATAGCGAGACCTTGACAAAATTTGTCAAATGCTTCTACCTCGGAACCGATGTTGTTCCATTGTAAGTAAAGACGTTTCAGCGTATTATTGTGCTGGAAAATTTCTCCGAGCTGGCTGGCTATCAACCCGCTGATGTTGTTGCCTTTTAAATTCAGCGTTGTAATATTTGTACCGTCGCGAAGTGACTCCAGAAGCTTACTCAGGCCTTTGGTGATGAGCATACAGTCACTCAGGTCCACTGACTTTATAGTCGAGCTTGATATCAACACACGACTTATTATTTCGCAAACTGGTATTACTATTGACTGACATGGCAAACGTAACTCACCTGTTGAACTTTAAATGAAAATTAATTTAGCATATATTTAATAATTTTATAACAAATAAATTATGGCAAAAAAAAAATTTACATGGAGAAATTTTAAAAATAAAAAATACAATTTTTTTAAAATAATTTTTTGGGACGAATTTTTTTGTTAAATAAAATTGAAAAATTGTGAAGTCCGACAGCTAACTTTAATATCATGAACTTTAAAGTTTTAAAATTGGTTTATTTTATTGATTTTAAATTAATAAATTAATGATACTGAATTTAGGAGACATTTGACAGTTTTTTTATTTTTCTTGAAAAATAAATTAGGTATAGAAAATTATTTTTAAAAAATTGCATTTATAATTTTTTAGAGCTTCAAAAATTAAATTTTTTTTTGCTATTATTTATTTGTTAAAAAAAATTCTAAAAATTATCAGATGTATCTTAATTTTAGTATTATAAACTAATAAATAATTTACCTGGCTATTTTCATGGCATCCAAAATTTCTGACGGTGAAAAAACTCCACGTTTGAGACACAATTGTGTAAATAATTCATAGTCACTCAGCATTCTTAAATATTTATTACAATTATTAATAATATAGTTGATAAATAAGTTTTTAAAAATGTAAACAATATAGACGCTTTTATTTTTGTTTTGAAAACAAAGTGTCAGTCATGTTGGTATTTTATATAATATTTCTTGCAGTTGGTAGACAGAAAAATAGCTGTCAAGGTCAAGTATCAGTTCAGAAATTATTAAATTTTTTAATTTTATTAATATTAATTGTTTTATTTACACAAAAATTGCTTGAATTTCTTATATATTGATGTAAGTTTTTAAAATAATTTTTTGAATTAATGAAAAATGTCAAAGTACGTTTTCTTACTAACAATTGATAAAATAGAGCGCTAATAAGGAGCTGATAGGTTAGAAAAGCAAGCAATGACAATTCAAATAAAACTATAGATGACAGTAATAGTATTATTCACTCATAAAATTTTAACGTTAATATATTTATAATTTTTCAAACTTTATACGTCAGTATTTTAAAATAATTACTCTTAATTATTTATTTCAAGTATTTTCAAAAGTTTTTATTCATAAAGTAAAAAGTTGACAAGTATTTATAGTGTTGAATTCAAAAATTTTTTTCTAATAATTAAAATTTTATTTAAAAGTCAAAAAATAACATTTAATTAAATACATCATGACATTAAAGTTAGCTGTTACTTGACAAATTTTAAATTTTATTTAACAATTAAATTAATTCTAAAAAATTATTTATAAAAAATTGCATTTTTAATTTTTTTGAATTTCTACATGTCAATTTTTTTTTCTTATTTTTTTTGCCATAATTAATTTGCTAAATTAATTTTCATAAATACATTTGTATAATCTCTCTAATTAATAATTGCAGGATCAAACTGAGAAATGACATACTTGAACTTTTTAATGGCAGCATTGAGCATTTCATCAGAAATATCAAGATGAAACACTAATCTAAGGCAACCTTCCCACTCAGCCCAAGCTTTAACAACAACTTGATCATCTGGATGATCATCAACAACTGTCCCAAGTCTATGAACCACTTTCTCAGCATCAATAGCCTCTGAATTCTTGACATCAACAAAAACCATGTTAGTCTGGACACTAGCAGCGTTAACGTTGATAATCTTCGAATTCATTTGATTGATCGCCTTCATCATAGCAGTCGCCTTCTCGTGGTCCTTGTGTAATCTGAAGCGACCATCCAGGGCAACCAAACCAGCAGCAGCTAGAACTCCAACTTGGCGCATTCCACCACCAAGTAGCTTTCGACAACGACGTGCCTTGATAATAAATTCGCTGCTCCCACATAGTACTGAGCCAACTGGAGCACCCAGGCCTTTGCTGAGACAAAATGTCACCGAGTCTAAGCCTCGAACTATGTCTTTGACACAAGTATTGCTACCAATCGCGGCGTTCCATAAACGAGCGCCGTCCATATGTACTTTTAAATTGTTGTTCTTTCCAAATTCCACAACTTCTTTTATCCATTCTAGCGGCAAGATTTTACCATTTAGAGTATTCTCAACAGCAATCATTCTTGATATTGGGTGATGGACGTTTTTTGAATCGCGCAGTCTACTTTTTATCGTGTTTATATTAAACGTGCCATTGGAATTGTTGGGAATTGTTGAGATTGTCACACCGGCTATCTGGGCTGCTGCTCCTTGCTCATGCTGAACTATATGACATTCTTCGCCCAGATAAACTTCGCAGCCACGTTGGTCACAATGAACCATTACTAAAAAAAAAAAAAAAACAATTATTTAATTAGTAAATTTAATTGATATTCATTAGGGTGGCGCAAAAAAACCGACTATTTTTTTTTTGAGTCTCGAGTTAAAAAATGTTAATTTTTTATGTTTTAAGAGCTCTCTCCAAAGGACAGCTTAAAAAAAAATTTTTAAGAGGTCGCTTCAAATTTTTTTAAATTTCAAAAATCCTCAAAAATCAAATTTTTTTTTTTTTATTTTTTTTCTCGTTGCGTCATAATTTTATAGACCAAAAAAAAAAGTTTTCCTGAAAGATTCAGTTCAAAATGTGAATTTTAAAAGGTCGCTCATAAATTTTTTTTTAATTTATTAGTGACTAATTGGATTAGCATTTTTTGACTCT